GCTATAGATATTTTTTGTCATCTAATACTCATGCTTTTTTGATGAGGAGACGAAGTTGTGTAGCGAGACCCAGGGGGTAACATGAAGAAACAGGAGCAGAGTTCAGATCTTCTGATTCTCCCACACTTTGGTCAACTTAATTATTGTAAGATGGTGATAAATACGGCATTTTTGGTATTCTTTCCTTGGCAAGATTTAATGTTCCCACTATCATTTTTTTTTTTTTTTCCCCTCAGTAAAAATATCTAAGTCCCTTTCTGGCTAGAAGCATCTTTATTTTTTTCTGTTTTAAGGTTGATTTTCATTTCTCCATAGGGTTTCGGGTTATGGAACATCTGCCTAAGAACAGCAGCCACTAACGTGCAATCATTTCTAATGGATGAAATCTTAGAATCACACTGATAGTTTGGTTCCATATGCTTCCTCTGAATTCCAGACTCAGCTATCTGATTGTCTCCCTTCTTCAGGTATCAGTCAGCTCAGTCTCCACATGTCCAGTACTGACATCGCGGTCTTTCCCTCAAAATCTGTTCCTCTTCCAGGCACTGGCGTCAGTCACTGGCTTCAACATGCACGCTGTTGCTTCAAGCTCTAAGCCTAGAGGAGCAGGTTAGCGTTTCCCTTCCATCCCCATTACGAACCCGGGGCTGCTGTTAACAGAATACCTCAGACTGGGTTACAAAAAAGCGCACATTTCGGGGCGCCTGGGTGGCTCAGTCGGTTGGGCGGCTGCCTTCGGCTCAGGTCATGATCCCAGAGTCCCGGGATCGAGTCCCGCATTGGGCTCCCTGCTCAGCGGGGAGTCTGCTTCTCCCTCTGACCCTCCCCCCTCTCATGTGCTCTATCTCATTCTCTCTCTCAAATAAATAAATAAAATCTTAAAAAAAAAAAAAAAAATTTAAGGGCGCCTGGGTGGCTCAGTCGGTTAAGCAACTGCCTTCGGCTCAGGTCATGATCCTGGAGTCCCGGGATCGAGTCCCGCATCGGGCTCCCTGCTCGGCGGGGAGTCTGCTTCGCCCTCTGACCCTCCCCGCTCTCGTGCTCTCTGTCTCTCATTCTCTGTCTCAAATAAATAAATAAAATCTTTAAAAAAAAAAAAAGAATAACGGGGGAATAATGGACATTTTGTCAGAAATCATGCAAGAAATAAAAGAGCAGAGTAAGTATTTAAAATGTTAGAAGGAAAAGTAACAACTGATATGGAATTCTTTACGTAGAAAATTTATCTTCAAAAGTAAAAGAGGAAGACTTTCTCAGACAAGGACAAACAGAGAATTTATTGTCAATAGATCTGCTGTACAAAATATGTTAAAAGCTTTTCTTCAGGCAGAAGAAGATGATACAGATCAGAGATCTGAACCTAATAATGAAAGAAAGGGCATCCTAGGGCACCTGGGTGGCTCAGTTGTTAAGCCACTGCCTTCGGCTCAGGTCATGATCCTGGAGTCCCTGGATCGAGTCCCACATCGGGCTCCCTGCTCGGCGGGGAGTCTGCTTCTCCCTCTGACCCTCCTCCCTCTCATGCTGTCTCTCATTCTCTCTCTCTCAAATAAATAAATAAAATCTTAAAAAAAAAAAAAAAGCGCACATTTTTTCCCCTCACAGTTCTGGAGGCTGGGAAGTCCACAAACAAGAAGATGGTATATTTGGTGTCTGGTAAGAACCCACTTCCTGGTTCAAAGATGATGGCATTTGGCTGCATTTCTACATGGCAGAAGGAGCTAGGGAGCTCTGTGGGGTATTTTTTTTTTTTTAAATAAGGGCGCTAATCCTATTTATGAGGGCTGCATCTGCATGACCTAATTACCTTCCAGAGGCCCCACCTCCTAATACCATCACCTTAGGGATTATTAGGTTTCAGCATATGAATTTGGGTTAGGGGAAACAAACATTCAGTCTACAGCACTCTTTAAATGTCTTTTTTTTTTTTTTTTAAAGATTTTATTTATTTATCTGAGAGAGAATGGGAGACAGAAAGCATGAGAGGGGGAGGATCAGAGGGAGAAGCAGACTCCCCACCGAGCAAGGAGCCCGATGCGGGACTCGATCCCGGGACTCCAGGATCATGACCTGAGCCGAAGGCAGTTGCTTAACCAACTGAGCCACCCAGGCGCCCTCTTTAAATGTCTTAAATGTCTTTGGGTTAGTCCACCAGAGATCAACATAACAGTCTCCGCAGTACCCTCTCTGTAATCTATTTGCTACAGGCAATCAGATGAATCTTCTTATAATGCAGATATGATTAATTCCTCACTCTTACTCGCTGCCTCCCCAACCCTTCCATGGCTTCCCAATGTTCTTAGATGAAGACATTAGGTTCCTCAGGTCTGAAGTTGGGCTTTTCACCATGATTCCACTCTGCCTCTTAGGCACAGAGTTGGGAATCATTAGTACATAAAATCAGAAGTGTGAAAGTCACAGAAATTTGTGGAATGAGCTCAAAAGAAGACTAAAGATGGAAGCCCATCCTGGGTTCCTGGGATCGAGCCCCGCATCAGTCTCCCCGCTCAGTGGGAAGCCTGCTTCTCCCTCTCCCGCTCCCCCTGCTTGTGTTCCTGCTCTATCTCTCTCTTTCAAATAAATAAATAAAATCTTAAAAAAAAAAAAGTACTGTTAAACTGCAGGAGAAATGATCCACAGAAAAAGACTAATCTAGATCTGATCTCCATATATAATAGCTAGTTACGTTAGGCTATTTAAGTTAAAATTAATTAAAATTAAGTAAAATCAAAATTTCAGTTCCTTAGTTGTCCTAGCCACATTTCAAGTGGTCTATAGCTACATGTGACTAGTAGTTACTCTACTGGATGGTGCTGGGTAAATATTTTTATACCACAGAAAGTTGTACTGAATAGTATTGATCTCTAGAATACCGTTTGCTTACTTGATTCAAACATACTATTTTTTCATTAAAACAGATGTATTTGATATAAAAAGAAATCAGTTTTTTACTTTGCCAGGAAAGAGTGCAGAGATGATGTGCAGCCCTGCCAGCCCCCTCTGCAACCCTCCCCCCACCAGCAGAAATCCTGAACTAGTCTCTTTTCCTTGCTGCCTATTTAACCCTTTACCAACTGCATGCTATCATGCAATTTAATGACTTCCAGTATGCCCCTTCTCACAAAACACAACTTGCACAGGAGAACTGTGAGGATGGGGAGGTGCCATCTGGGTAAAATCTCCCTTGATGACTCGCAGACAATGAAGGCACAAAGTTAACTTCCTTTCACTTTAGTGGGCTGTCTGTGCAGTGTTGGGAGCTGCTGTGCTGGGCTCCTGAGAGGTCGGAAATCTCCCTGCTCTGCCTCTGGAGCTTTGTTTTCCAGTGGTTCACCTCTCCCCCACTGGCTGCGTGCTTTTCCTGTTCACCTTTTCCCTTTCCACTTGTTGGTGACTGTGTGTTGTACGTGAAGGTGCAGGTATTCTTGTGGGGGTAGAAGTGAAGAGAATGAGAACAAACTGGAGGGGTGGTGGTATGCTAAAATCTTTCTGGCTATTTTCTATCTGAAGACTTGCTACCAAGGAATTCAGAAAATACCAAACCAAATAAACAAACAAACCCCCAAAACCCTGAAGAATCCACCCGCCTCCAAAATCAAGTATAATCCCACCATCCAGAGAAGCTCTGTCAACATTTTGGTGTTTATCCTGTCTTTACGCTATGTGATGCAAATTCAGATCATACTTTCCATTTCTAAAATATTAAGCTTTCTTTTTCACTTAATACTATATTATCAAACCTTTCCTTTATCATTAATAGTCTTTGAATGCATGTTTTCTTAATATAGATGTCCCATAATTTACTTTACCATTCCCTTCATGTTAGAGATTAAAGTTGTTTCTAATTTTTCATTAGAAGTAATGTGACCATATCAATGTATATATATTTTGTGCATCTCTCTGAGTAGGAAAAAGATGCAAAAATACTTATTAGGTTGAAGGGTATTAATGTACTCGATATAGTTCCAAATTATCTCTAGGAAGTCTGTAATGAATTACACTCCTGTAGACAGAAAGTGTGAGTGTCCCACCTCACCTTTTCTGAAACCAAGTGTTAGTTTAAAAACATCTATGCTAATTTGCTAGAAAAAGTAGTATATTCATAGTAGTTTTTCTTCATTCCTTAAATGATGAGTGAGGTTTAACATTTTTAATGCTTCTCGGGCATCTCTGCTTTTTCTTTTCTAAATAACATGTCCTTCGTTTATTAAACTGGGGGTGTTTTTTCCTTTGTTTTCTGTATATTCTTCCAATTTTTTTTATGAAGCTTGATTGGGGGTTCTCTGATCAAGCCTTGCAAGAGCAAGGGCTCCATCTGGTCCTGTGAATGTGCTGCTGGACCACGTCCATTCTGACTCCTCACCCTCTTGAGTTCCATTTTCCGTCTCCTTCCCTGGCAGACCCAGATCTTGAGTGTCAGCTCATGGCGGTCTGTTACACCTTGGTGGGATTTTAACTGTCTAATCATTCAATGGAATACTTATGCTTCATCTCTACTTATACAGTTACAGGCTACAGCCCTTGTCAGAGATATCTGGAGCATCAGATTGGAAACCGTGCGAGCCCCCCAGGAGAGGAGAACCTCAGGCTGCCAGCTTCTCCGTCTGCCCGTGACTAGCTCTAGAGCCTCAGTGCTGTCATCCCCACAAACAGGCTACACTCAATGACTGGTGAAAACTCAAATCAGCCCAACAGATAAGACAAATAGTCAGGGAACATAAATGTGAAATAATAAGGTCTTACTGGAAGACAGAGTTATTTTTAAAAGCCAACAGCTGCAAGAAAAGCCAAGATGAATTGTAAATCAAAAATCAAAAGTTGTTGACAAAGAGTGTTCACATTTTGTTCTGAACTCTTCTTGAAATCTGAACTTTTCTCGCGTCTCTTTATAAAACTATTTTTCAATTGGGTATTTAGAAACATGAGACAGATTTTTCTAAAAATTCCCAGCAGAATGATTTTTGAGTCTGACTTAAAAAGGTGAATAAATAATACATTACCTTTGAAACTAGCAGTGAAATGATTTCTTTTACAGCGTTGTCAATCAAATCATCTACTTTTGAATGGTATTGTTGCTGGATATCAAAAGACAAAGATGCATTAGTTGATGTGGACACAAAACTTTTGTCATAAGTCATAAATGCTTTAAAGCTCCTAGTTATGACATATCGGATTTACTGAAAATGATCATTTTGAACATCAGAAGAACAAAACCTTGAAAACGATCCACCCAATCAACACTTTTTACATTGTGGCTTGAAAATTTTCCCATGTGCACTGTTGAGTTAAGCAGCTAATGGGGTTATTATATAGATGAATTGGGTTCTTATTCTTATTCAGGCAGAGGAATGTGAAGGATACTTTTTGTCTTCTCCTCTATAATTAAGGTGGCCGTGTATTTTTCTAAAGGGTTGGTTTAGCTGGAGAAGCAAAAAGACTAGAAAAAGATTTAATTAATACAGCATTTCATGTCTGACAACTCTCATTCATAAGTTATTTTAAATGTGCTCTAGAAATAAAATGAGCTCCCAATTGTTCACTGTAAAAGGACCGTTTTGTCAGCGCAGGGAAGCCGCAGTTTATACAATTCTTACAATATGCTCAAGCAAGGGCAAAATTAAAATGTCATCAACAAAGGTGAATAGATGGTAACAAATTAATAGGCCATAAAGGGTATAATGAAACAGCACTCACTCCCCATAGTTTTATCACTGCTTCCTCATGAAAAAGACGCCTTTAAGTAAATACAAAAAAAGATGTATTTAAAATAAACCTGAAAGCCTCCTTTTTCGCTTTCTTCAGAGAATACGAGAGAGTTGCATTCTTAAATTAGCAGGAGCTTCGGCTTCTGCAGTGTTTGAATGCACATTCATTTAAACAGTAATTCTTGCTTTAGAAGCATTTATCTGACAGCCGATTGTCCCCAATAGCCACTTCAGAGAAAATGTGACTTGTAAAGACTAACCCTATCTTGAAGGTTCAAGGCTTCTTGGAACAGCTAACATAATGCATAGAGTAAAAGTACTCAGGTCAGTATAAACATTAGACCAACTTAACAGCTGCCGGATGAATGGTTTCCTAGGATGTAAGTTTTTGAAAGCTATTTTTTCTTCTGAAAACATGTCTCAAAGTTTCCACACACAACAAAACATCAACGTAGGTCTGCTTTGGAATACACAGGAATGATCCCCCCCGCCCCCCCCGCCCCCCGTAGGCTCTGACAGTTACAAGTGGCTATCTACCTGCATACATAAAAAACAGGAAGCCTAATTCTGGGGCATGTGAATTCTCTGTTCTGCATGTATGCGTGTGTGCTGACATGTGGTCTAAAATTAACCACACACACATGAACGTGGACCTTTCCCGGCATGTATTCCACCTAGTGAAGGGAAACATTATGTGTCTGTTTTACTGAAAGCCTTACTGATTCCCAAACTTGTGCTCCCCAGAGACAACTGGAACAGAAACACAGAGGGTGGATTTCTATCAGAGTAGGGCCAACTCCTTTGTTTTTAGAACAGCTTGAAGAGAAGGAAAAGGGGAGACAATAAAGAAAAACAACGGAGAAGAGAAAGAGCGTGGAGAATCTGGCTGCTAGTGGAGATAGCTGGGAAGCCCCCCCCAAACACAGGTACCAAAAGGTCCTGGGCTCCAGCTGAAGCTCTACAGCCGACCTGGTGTGAGGAGCTTATGCAAATGCGCTCTGCCCGGCTCCCTCTCCCTGCTCCTCTTTCCATAGCCTTCTCTCTCCAAATTGTGTCTGTGCAGCAGGAGGAAGTGAAACACCAGACTGAGGCTCCTCTTTGGGGTAGAACAGGAAAGGGATACACACAGGAGATGGGCTTCAAGCTCCTCACTTCCCTCTCCCCTGGAAAGTGCTACAGAACATACAGGGATCAAGGTGCCTAGACCTCTGAGTGGTTCCATGTTCTTAAATATACACTTGATAGGTTCAGTGCTTATCTGTATTTGCCATAGATTTCATTTTTTAAAAGATTTTATTTTTAAGTAATCTCGATACTCAGTGTGGGGCCCCAAGATCAAGAGTCGCATGCTTTACTGACTGAGCCAGCCAGGTGCCCCAGCCGTATGTTAATTTTTTAACTCAAGAGTAATCAAATGTCATCAAAAGACTATCGGATATAAAATTGTTGAGCTTCTACATTTTAAACTTTTAGACTGGATGGATTTGGACACATCTTAAAATCAAGAGATTGGCCACTAAAGAGGTTCCTTATACCCTTTTTATCGAAAGGCAGGGAAAGGCATGGACCGCAGGGGCCATCACATTCTCCTATAGTATACACCTTTAGACTACTGACACCTGATCTAGCCAAAAGCAGTGAGAGGAGAAGGAGGGAGGGGGTGAGAAGGGGAGCAGGGAAGGAGGAGGAGAGGGAGAGAGAGAGAAACACAAAAAAAATTAAAAAGGAAGAAAAGTATACTAAATGTACTACCCAAGGACAAACCCAAATAGGGTAAGGCTTGTTAGGTTTTTATGAGATTTTGCTATTGTAAACTTATCTGACTAGCTGGGACTTTCACTAATGTTAAAATTGCCGGGAACTTCCAGAATCTGTTCTAGCTGCACAGTCGGTGGAGGTGGTCTGGAAACACTGTGGGTGGGAGCGGCCAGGTGGCCTCAGAATTCATATTGTACATGTACATTCTGCAAAGAGAACAGCTCACATCTGCCACATAGAGATGATAGAAGGTTAGCTAGAAAGTTACTCCTCAGGGGATCCAGATAGCTTCCAAAGACAAACACAGACACACCAAAAGAGATCACAGAGAAGAATTTATCTGCATAGACATTTACATTACCTAACCTAAAATTGGTATATTTTATTTAGATTAACAGACTGAATTTTTGATAAAAATCTGCAAAGTTTTTGTCTGTAACAATAAAAATCTATAAAATTTCTATCAGAATATTTCAAATCGGATTGATAATCCTACATACCAGGGCTTTGGCAAATCACAGCCCATTTCTTCGACTTAATTCTCCCTACATTCACCCTCAAAAGTAAAGCATATGTGCTTCTCATATAAAATATGGCCAATAAAAGAGGCAAGATGATTCTATAAACCTGATGAAGTAAAAAGTAAAGTCAGATGACTCTGACTTTCGATCAAGATTAACCTTTAAGGAATTTGTACCTCATGGAGCCCAGGGAATTCAGGGATCAGACACGGGTCTGAACCCTGGTCCCCCTACACTCAGGTACATATCCTCATTTCACCTGACTGTTGTTAATGTAAACACTCCAGAAATGAAAACTAATCAAATGCCAGTATAATCCAGCATTCTTAAAAGATTTTGGTCCTTCTCTTGGGGAGAACTTTAAAGGCATTGGATTGTCAGTTCTGGAAATGGAAGCATTTTACTATAGTTGAGGACAAATCTTACACAAGGAGCCCCATTAATGTGCTTTCATCCTCAGTGGATGGGCCATCAGATGCTGGGGGCACCGAGGGCAGAGCATTACCTAAGTAAGACGAATGCAGTTGGTGGAGAACAACGATTTCTAAACACTGGTGGTTTTGTGGTCTCAACATCTGTCCCTGAGGAACTGGCCTGAGACTGCTGACTCATTACACACAGCTGTCGCATGAGCAGATCATTCGCTCACTAATGACTCCATTAAACACCATTCTGGGCTGCGGTTGAGCACGTTTGCATCATCATGTGCCACGCGAGAAAACGGAATCATAACTCAGGAGCACAGAAGGGGCTGCCTTGTGGAAAAGGAGTTGGGGAGGTTTCATCTCAGTAATGACATATAATAAATTTACTGGAGACTTTGGAGAGGTAATTTCCTAAAATTCAGAACACTATCCCTACTAGGTTTATCTATGTAAGCATATATTTCACAAGGTTCCAAATTGTGTAATAATCTAGTTTTTAATTTGTTGCTTACTACAGAATGAGGTCCACTGGCTCACCTCTGCATGTAACATATTTGCTAATTTGCAACAATTCCAAAACTTATCCCAAGCACAGAGAGGGAAAGCCTGTGCAATTACGTGGGTATATTTACTGGTGATTAAAAGCAAAGTATAAAATCCTTCTTTTGCACTGAAAGTCTTGTTTACCACTTTTCATAGTTGCTAATGGGTTTTACACCTGCACATTTTGAATTATATTAATTGTGTGAAAGTTGTGGGGAACTAATTGTCTCTGGGGAGAAGGTACAGGTGCAAATACAATGAACAGTAGCAGATTACTTTTCAAAGCCATTTACCTGTTAATATAAAGAACCGTGTGACAATGCAACAATGTTTTGTCATTTGTGTGTGGGCTTGTTTTTCTTTTGAGGTACTAGAGATAGTTGTTTCTTACAGGGGAGGATTTTTAAAGCGGTGACAACAAATCAGTCTGTTCATTCAACAACTATTTACCAAGTGCGTATTATGTGTCAGGTACTGCCATGTATATTAAAATAAAAGCAGATGGATAAATCCAGTATCAATGGGAAGAGGCAAGATGATTCTATAAACCTGATGAGAAATGGATGGACTTATAAAGAGACGTAAGACAATATTTCTGAGTAGACCATCAAAGGCTTACATCTGCGTATTGAAAAACATGAAAAGGTAGAGAGATGAGCTATTGATATCCAAGCCAGCTGCTTCCTCATTCAGATGATTAGAGGTAATAAATCATGTTGTAGGTGCTCAGGGAATGATAATTGCTGAACATTCTATAACACCTATCAATTACTTAATATATCTGTAAGGTTGTATGCTATGGTATTAGAAATACATCTTTTCCCCTTGAATTGCTCAAAGAATGAAATACGTGTACATGTGCATAAATTATGGCCAATTACCTAATGTCTATATCTGGGCTAACTAAGTATGAAATTCACAAATAGTGGGCCCTCTCATCCTCTTTCAGAGCTACCTAAGCCCTTCTACTTGGATGAGAATTGTCAGCCCAGTAGAGTCACCCTGAGTTTGACTCCTAGGTGGCAACTGTAAGACTTTACGTAAGAGTCAACATATCCATAAGCACAAAAACATTTTGACATCAAAACACATGTATAAAACAGATAGATATATATAGTATCTAGTCACTTTTGTATGCATAAAAATTTTCATATCATGTTCCTCTGAGGTTCTGGGTGGTAATTCAAGACAACCTTGTATGGGGGAGAGGAAAGGCTTCTGACACACAGGCCTGCCTCTTCCCTGCCTCTGTTACGGTAACTTCCCAGGCCATGAGTGGGAAGAAAGACTGTATCACTGGTGGGCATGTACATTATTGAAATCCACAACTGGGTACTTCTGCATGAAGTGACCTTAGGAATGGCCTCTTGGTCCTCAAATTGATTTAGAGGTACCCTGATATATACTATATGTCACCCAAAGCTCCAAATTTTTCTAGAATTGGTAAAAGTATATACTATAGATATATGAACCTTGAAAATATTAATAATCATTCTGCTTCTGAATTTATTTAGAATTTTGTTTAAAGGAGGGTGAATTCATTTTAAGTAATTTTATCCTTAAAAAATCTAAGAGCAGTTCGTAGATTCTGCAGCCTAACAGGGAAGAAACATTCCCCTTGACATTATTTAGGGCGTAAGTATTTATGTGTTTTAATGTGTCTCTGGGTATTGCTATGTTATAATAAGCTGTTAGTGTTATACGCATACATGGAAAACATAAACCTGAAAATGGAATTATATTAATTTGAAAAGATGAAAATAAAAAGTGTACGTTTACACAAATAGTAACTCAAATGAAAGTGTGCTTTTACAACAAAAAAAAAAAAAAAAAAAAGGAAGACTTACCCATTGACTACCAAACTGGATCATGCCATGGAGAAAAAAAAAAAAGACGATGAAGGAGAACATATGGGAAGAGTAAAGAAATGAACAAGTAATTACAATGAGAAAAGCAGCAACAGAATGTCAACTTAAACAGATAATCTAAGAAAAATAAATCCTTTTTCACCCAACTGCCACTCTCAACAAAAATAAATCATGGGGTAAAATAAGCTGTGTTTCTGAATATAGAACGAAACAAAACATGAATCAAAGTAAAAAAAATGGGACATTTATTAAAAAAAAAAGTCTAATTTTTTTTAGTACGTTTCTACTTGATCTTTAAAACATGGAAACTTTTGTGTAAATAAAAACATTTCATATGCTATTTTTTGTGCCTTGTTTTTTGAATGCAAACTCTGGATACTCTAGATTTGTATAAACAAAGCAGGTAGCTCTCTAGCTTTCTTATTTGCTTGTGAAAAGCAAGGGTTATGTAAATACACAACACATAAGGTGTTAAAAGCTTCAATGGCCACGTGTAAAATTTTGCGCAGTCTTCATTTAAAAAAGAAGAAACTAATGGGAGCAAAGGATAAAGGGCCTTCCGTTATTACAGTAAAGAAAAGGCCAAACACTTCTATTGGAAAACTTGGTCTTTTAATCTAATCAAGTGAGAGACTTCTGGAAACAGCATCCAGCACCCTCTGCCAGGGCACCCCGTGCTGCCTATCCATATGTGACACTCAGTTCACTTACCTCTTGTCCTCCATCCAGGGCACAAAGTTTGGTGCTTTGCTTTTTGGCATCGACTAATACATTAAACATTGTACACACGGAGGCAGGAATGCGCAAGTCAGTGGTTTTGCTTGCCTTTTGCAGCTTGACTTCAAATGCAGTTCTTGTTCTATTCATTAAAACATGAATCCAGGGTAAGAAATTCTGAAATATGTCTCACCTGTTTAGTAAAAGTGAAATCAACACTACAAGATGGCTAATTTAAAACATGCAAATAAGGAGTGTGGCATTGCTTGGGAGCCAGGGGTGGGATGCTCTTCTTTTTCAGGTGTCTCATATGAAAGATCAGGGAGATATTTTATATTAAACAGCTTTTGCAGTCATGCAGACAATATCTCTACTCAAAGGAAGCTATTTGTTACATCTAGTGTAAAACTTTTTATGGAAAAACCGCTTAGTTTTACTGAACTGCCTGAATTAATTTCCAAGTGTAAAAACCACTTGCTTCTCTGCATTAAAGCAGAACAAATCTTCTGCGTGAGGGTTTACCGAATAAAAAAAAAGTACAAGTCTGGAAAACCCTAAAACATCATAATTAATGTACAATGGAGAATGTATAATTCTTCTCTGTCACTTAGCCTCATAACTTATTTCTGATTAAGTTCTGAAGAATATAACTGGATAGTTGACGCGGAAAGCTCCCTTGACGTGGAAAGAGAATACCAGAAAACAGAAACACTGATGGCCCTGATCACAATTTGGGTTTGCCATCCCGTTTCACAGCAGACACCGTGCGTAATGCATAAAGTACTTAACTGCCCTTTTCCATATGTCTCAGGAAGTACTGCCTTGGGAATTGAAAGCACAGTATTCCCAAAGAGACAACAATAAAGCACCACAGAAAGGATTAATATAGTATGGATGCTACTGAGAAGGGTAATGTGAGGAGGCGTTTAAAAAAAAAAAAAAGTTTTAGGCCAATTTTATCAGTTACAGAGTTCTAGGAGGCCCCAGAATTTAGGTCTGAGAACGCAACGCTCATTAAGTTTTGTTGTGGTAGTACATATTGAAACTTTCCTTGTGACAACTAGGTAACAGGTACTTGGTGAAAAGTGCCACTCTGGGCGCTGGCGTACAAAGCAGCAACTTGAAAACACAGGTCTACCTTTTGACACAGGCCTCTATCATATCACTGGCCATTAGTTTAAGTCTTTGCTCTAAGTGGTGGGCAAATTCTTGTTCTGGCCAGTGCAGATCAAAGACAAACATTTGCAGTGCATCGAGTTTCCAAAAAAGGTCTTCTGATGTTGCTGAGCCATTGCTAGAAGAAAAAGGAAACATGAAGAGCATCATGAACTTCCACTGTTAGCTGTGAGGATAGCCAACACATTGTTTTTTGCCTTAAAATCTCTAATAATTGGCATTTTCTTTATTCAACCTTCTAAATCTCTTCCTTTTCACTTCTTAATGAATATGGTGAGGCAAAAAAACCAAAACAAAACAAGTAGAAATAAATATAGTAAGGTTTCATAGAAAGGGGTAGAATGCATAAGGGTACTTTACTAAGGAAAAGAAATCAAATTGTACATGGAAGAACAAAATTTTGAACGCTTTTTTACCAATCTATAGGATACAGATAAAATACATAAATATTTCCTCCTGCAAATTCAGAAGAGTATGTTCTATGCAAGAAAGTCCATATGACAGCTACTAGGAGCTTCACTCCTCTACTCATGCATACATGTGTCCCTTTGTCATCACAGTGGTTTCTGTCTACAGACAGGTACATAGCTTACAGATCCTTCAGTTTCTCAAGGACAGGGGAAGGGGAAACAGGTAGTGCAAGTGAGAAAACAGGCTGAGCAGGGAAGCAAATCTTATGCCTATTCTGAAATGCTTCATGACTTTTCTAGCTCATAATGAAACCTAACAGTATGATGTACAGTCTAACAGAGAAATGACATTCGGGGTGCCCTGAAGTGGGAACAAAATCATGTATTTCAGGTCATTCCATCTTTCTAACTTGGGGCCTGGATTTGCTATGCATTCACTGCTCCAGCAAAATTAATCCAGGGGACTAGAGTTTCAGACCATGTATGAAGGTAATTTGTAGCAAGGTACATATAATATTTGGGCAAAGGATAACACTACTACTTTCCATTATGCAAGTATATAGCCTAATAGGGAAACAGAGGTTTTGAGAGTAAAATAATCCTATGTTCAAACACGCTGAAACTTAATAGTAAAAGAGAACAAAAAGAGAAAAACGGTGCTGTGCAGATTCAGTTCTCCTCAGCTTTCCCGTAAGTGCTTAACATACACTAACCTAAAAATTGTATTGTTAGTGTGCAAAAGAAAAATAGAGAAATGAAATAATTTATCACAAGAGCCCAGTGGGAAACTTTTATAAAAATAAAATTCTTTTAAATACCCCCTTTGTTTAGCTAAACATATCAATTATTTGGCTTAAAAAAATGCCTCCTTCTCTGGCTAATTAAATGCTTATTTCCCTCCCCCACCTCCACCTCAGCATCTTTCCTGCATCACCAACCTCCTTTGTGTTCCTTCTCCCATCCTGCCAGTAATTCCTCAGGGTCTCCTTGCCTAGCTAAGATGTGCTCACAGTTAAGTTCTCAATGGACCATTCTCAGCAAAGCACTGAATGCCACCCATAGCTCTCTACTCAGTATCTCGTAACCTTAAAAATCAGTGCCCCCAAAGTATCATTAAATAAAGGAACCAGACAACACCATGTTGACATTGCTGTGAAAAATGTTAGAAAAAACACTATATTTATTTCTCCCTTTTGCCATATATATAATAAAAATAAGAGGAAAAAAATGACCAGGCAAAATCTTCTTATATATCCAGAGTGTACAGTGTGGTAAATTAGAGGACCTATATTTTAAGAGCAATTGAATCTAATTGGTTAAAGAAGCAAATCTAATAATTTTTTACTTTGGAGAAATATAAGGTAGCTATTTGAAACATGTATGTATTCTTAATAGCATAACAAAACAACAAAAACCATCATCAAAACAAAATCTGAAATAGTGAAGAGGGAATTCTATTGAAAATGGACTCTCTCATAACATATGACAATTAAATCTTCATAGGGAGTATGGATATATGTTTCTTCTGTTCTTTGATGCTATGGAATGATAAATGTGCTTAATTGGGAACATAATTAAGGTAACAAGTATTTGCTATAATTAAATAGAAAAAAATGTAAAGAGGTTTTCTCTTGAGCTGGAATTTATAACCTGCAATTTACTCAAAACTTTTCCATTTTAAAATTATTTTTAATCAGTGACCTATTCTGAAAGTATGATTAACAGATTAAAGAACTCAAACATGAATAATGGACTCTGAGATAACTTCCTAAAAATGCCAGTAGGAAACTTATCTTATTGGCACCTACTTTTAGAGCTAAAAAAACCAAAAAAACCTGAGAAGGAAGACATGGAGAAGCCCCTAAGGTGACACTGATACATTAGTAGGTAGGGATATATCTTGAAAGCATTGGTTATATTCTATTTTCTAATTCCTTATGTATATGAAACAGACTTTTTTTTTTTTTTTTTTGCTATTTAATGCTTTATAACGAAAGTTCAAAAAACTGGTGCCTGGCTGGTTCAGTTGGTGGAGCATGCAACCCTTGATCTTGGGGTTATGGGTTCAAGCCCCACACTGGGGGTAGAGATTACTTAAAAATAATAAAAATAAAATCTTTAACAAAAAAAAACCGCCCAGAACCCAAAAAGCTAGTGATTACATCATAACATTATAAGGAATTTTGAGCACCCTGATGAAGAGCCTAATGTTGATAATCCTAGCAGGTAAAGAAACAGTGATTAACTTGTAAAACATGTTTTTTATTTACTCAGAATGATGAAAGTATGAGCACTTTATTTACAAAGCCACAATTTGTCATGATTCCTGTCCTGAGATGCAGGTCATTTTAAAAAGGGGCTCCCAATAAATGAGATTCAGGTTTCACACATGCCTCAAAGCTAAAAAAAATAATGACACACACATACAAAATCTAAATTTCACAAGGTAATGCCCAAAATAATGTTTTCGGTTAAAATCAAGGGTGTTAAACAGGTGAGGAATGAGGAAAAAGAGGAGTTAAATTATAAAACAGTATTAAGAAGCACAAAAACACATAAACTTAGAAAGATACATTATACTTCCTAGATAATTGCCAAGCAGACACAGACACCACTCTATATACTATAACTGCCCAAAGCATTTGCCTGAAAGAAAAAGATTCACATGTAACCTCACATCCCAATAACTATCATGGGCACAGTGATGATGTTTAACTTGGAGAGATATTGTTAAGCTATTTTGCAAGTTATTCTTCTCCTTCTTGGTCTTCTTTCTTTTCTTGAGGGTATGCAGCCTTGGGGAGCAGATGTAACAGTGGTGGGAGGACAGGCAGAAAGGATGCTGGGCAAGTTCTTAGCCCAGCATCCTTATATTCTCTGGAAGCTGAACACATGAATAAGAGGAGTGAGAGCTTTGTGGTCAGGCAAACCTGGGTTCAAAGCTTGCCTCTGTCACTTACTTACTATGGGACCTCAGGCAACTTCTGTTTCTTAACTTCTTTATGGCTTAGTTTCCTAAGTCCCTAAAATAGGGACAATGACATTTACGTCCCAGGGTTGTCCAGAGGCTTAACTGAGAAAAAGATTTGGCACTTTACCTGGAACATAGTAAGTGTTCAATGAATGGTAGCTATTTTTCTTCTTGTAATTATTATTCTTTCTAGCTGATGTCATATGAGATCTTGGGCAAAGCATGGACTATTATCGAGTTCATTTGCTTGCTCTGAGTCTCATACTTTTGAAAACTATACAGTTAACGAATAATGATGATTGATGACAGTAATAATAATGATAAAAATCATAATGTAGCATAGGAATAGTTATTATTTATTGAGAGCCTAGAATGTGCCAGGCACTTTTCATCATTTTTTTCTTTTTTATCCTCACAAAAATGTCTTTAAATTAGGTGTCATAACATTTCAGCATTGGGGAAACTGAGGCTGAGAAAGATTTAATGATTACTAAACTAGGATCTAAACTCGAATTTCAAAGCCTGTGTCCTTTTTGTTTTAGTGACTCTCAGTTACTGAATCTGCAATAGGTGGGCTGATCACAATGTAGAGCTAACAGATATGGTTTTTATGATATAAAGATTATTTAAAAATAACAAAGTGCATCAACTGATAGATGGAAGGACTTGCTGGTGTTAGGAAATAAAGGACGATCGCTTCTCTGCAACCTGAAATATTATTTCTTTAAAAGTGCAACTAAGATAAAATAGAAAAACATTATATTCTTCAAACGATTCTTATGATGGTTTTCTTCATGTACAAGAGAAACTATGTGGGCAGTAATGAAGTTGGAGCCAACTACGGCTCCTAGATACTGTTACTACAGTGATTGCCTGAAGTGTGGTGTATCATTTAGGCTAGAGTCTACAACCTGGGTCACAAAATGACCTCTCACCTACAGATCACATATGAAGTAGATCAAGCCAATGAGTGGTGTTTTTTTTTTTTAATCTGTATCATTTATCATCGATTTGCTCAGCTTAGCTTGATAGCTTAAAAAACTCACACAAAACCAAAACATAGGATTCCTCAACCAATGATGATAAATGCCATGCAATCTGAACAAATGTGCACAGAAGACAGCCCAGGCCATGCACTAGCTAACACACCACCAGGAAATAAGTGAGGGATACACACGTGGACTCATATAAAGAAGCCATCCACGAAGGACGAGAAAAGCTAGGAATCTGTGGAAGATTAAGAGGCAGACTTGGAACTTTTGGAAGAGCTACATTGGGAAGACTGTTGGCGATATTCCTGTAGAGAAACAAACAACGTGGGAAGGGACCAGCATAAGCAATAACCACAGACGGCCATGTGTAAAGTCATAAGGTCAGGACTAAAGAGACAGATGTTCTATGGACACTGGGCAAGATACCTACTTGACAGGCTGCCATGTCTCTTGCTCAAAACCTCTGTGAATTGACTGGGCGATGGAGGACTCCATGAGATCGACGTAGCGGACAACCAAGGGCACAAAGATTTCTTGCAAATGTTTGTGAAATTTTCCATTACATAAAAGTGCTGAAATAGTCAAGCAGAAACAGTGTTTGTCAGAGGGATCATATCAGGCATTTGGGAAAGAGGGGTGAAAAAAACGTTTCCTGAAAGAGTCTGACACAGAAGAACTGGTAAAATACAGATGATAATGGATCTTATTCCTCCTGTTGAACATATCATGAAAGCTAATCAAGAAGTATAATTAACCTCCTAGATATGGCTGTCAAAATGCAAACAGATTCTTTCTCTGTAAAATCTTCCTGGCAGGTGGGATGTTTTTACTTTCTGAGAGGTTTAACACATGAGGCATATGACCACTTGCTAGAGATTCAACAGAGCTGCTGGATACCTGGAAGGTCTTGACACATGTAAATAGAGCAATAAAGAGAGTTACAATCCCTGTGCTAGATGGTGTATCACAGAAGAGCTAAACCCATTCAATTCTGAGAGCTAAGCTTGACTCATTCTAAGAAATACACTTATTTAATTCACCAGCAGGATGACTGTGGCCTTGGGAATATCTATTCTGATTCATGAATTTTTCAGTTATTTGTGGATTTTCTTTTCTTTTTTTTTTTTTAAGATTTTATTTATTTATTTGAGAGAGAGAGAATGAGAGACAGAGAACATGAGAGGGAGGAGGGTCAAAGGGAGAAGCAGACCCCCTGCCAAGCAGGGAGCCCGATGCGGGACTCGATCCCGGGACTCCAGGATCATGACCTGAGCCGAAGGCAGTCGCTTAACCAACTGAGCCACCCAGGCGCCCTATTTGTGGATTTTCTTGTTAGTCATCAAGTTTTTCACATGTGTCTTTAAAAACATCATATGCATTTTTCAGGCGTCCATTTGTCTTTAATGAAATACACTATGGGACATCCCACCTCAAGCAGTTGTGCAAGTCTTAGAATTTGTGCTTTTGGGATAGGACTGTCAAATAGGTAGGTAATAGGTAAGGTGCACCTCCCTACACCAGAGGTGGATGCTTTCTATGCACAGGATGTAATTTCATTAGAAGAAAGGTCAGTGCTATCTATAGATTGTGTCACATCCACCTACTTCCCTGCCAAATTCATTGAAATCCTAACACCCAATGCGATGGTGGGACCCTTGAGGGGGTAAATTAAGTCATGGGAGCACAGTCCTCATGAACAGTGTTAGTACTCTCATGAAATCTATGAAACAAGCTCTCATAGATTGGAGGAAAGATTGCCAGGTAGAGGTAACAGCTAGCATGAAAGTTCTAGGCAAGGAACAAGCTGGTGTACTTCTAGAAGGACGAGAAAGCCAGTGTGGCAGGAGTAGAGTGAGAGAGGGGAAAGAATAGTCCAAGATTATGTCTACACAGTAGTACATGGTGAGAAGTATGAGTTTTATTGGGTACACAGGGAAGCATCATTATTTTTATTATTATTAAGTAGAGGAGTGCCATGATATCATATCTCTGGCTGCTGTGTGGAAGATGGAGTTGGTGACCAAGGCGGAAGCAAGAAGGTGGCTCGTGTTCAGTGCTTGACTGCAACAGACCAGGTAAAGGATGACAATGATAATGACGGTGACTTGGATTAGAGTGGCAGAGGTGGAAGATGGGGAAAAGTCTCTCAGTAACCCCATTCACTTTTATGAATCCAAATAGCTGCATGTGCTTATATACAAAATCTAGTAACTAGCAGTTTTAAAGTAACGTCTCATGAAATACTCAGCTAAATAGGCCACCTTCCCCACATAATCTTCTTTAGGGCAAAAATACCCTGAAAGCTAAACAGCGTTTTAAAACTTGGGCAAAATATGTGATGCTTACCACAGTGGCATGAATACTGTTTTAACGGATTCTGAAATTTGTCAGAGGCTGGAAAACTACAGACATATAGAAGTGGGGCAGGAAGCAATTCTAAATACAGAGGAAAATACGACTTTTTTTTTTCTATTTCTAGTTAATATGGTTTAGTATTTTTTGTGGTTAAATAATTTTTTCTGGCTTATCTATATGCTAAAAGATTTCCTATTAAAGTGGGAATGATAATCATATTTAAAGATAAATGTCTTATTTAGAAGACTAATGTTATCTTAATGATGTTTTCATTAGCACACTGAAAGGAGCTTTATTTATTCCTGGAGATTCAATCACAGAGCTAGAAGGTACTATATAGATCATGCAGTTCAGTTCCTTTTGCCAAATGGTACCGAAATAAGGATGTTGAACATTAAGGATGAAATATTCTCACTCAAACCACCTAAATCATTGTGGTAAGCAAATTAAAAAATATATCCATATCTGAATTTATTGGCTCTCCACTTAAGGACTCTCTTTTTCTTCCTCCTCCTCCTTGCCTGCATTTTTGGAGTGTCAAACATGGGGCTAAGTTCTTGATACGCATTCTCTCATTTAATCATCACAAAATCTCTGTGACAAAAGCACTATTATCTTTTTCAATCTTATCAATAAGGAAGCTGAGGCACAGAGAATTTAGGGGCATGTGGTGAAGTCATCTAGTCATTAGGCAATAGAACAAGAGACCCCTCTTATCCCCCATAGACTATATGACCATTACCCCTCAATTTACATTACCATAAATTATTATCTATCCATCTATCCATTCATATAGTCATCCAACCTATCAGCAGCATATCAGCATCTTTTAAGACCTAGAAATTTATAGATTATTTTAGGTAGAAAAAAATCTTGCAAATGACAAATGCATGACTCCACATCTTAGATGAATTATATGTTTTTAGAATTAGAATTTTGAAAAACTCAGTTACACTATGAAAGAGATTGAAGAAAACTATTATAGTCAATGAGCTGAAAAATGAATTAACACTGTGAAAATATTTAATGTGCTTATAATATACATCAAAAGCCAGACAACTTCACATTGCTATATAGCTAGACTGTAGCCTAACTCTTAATTTATATGGCCTACTAATAAAAAACAGAGAGACCCATAGGCTCAACATCTTTTTTTTTTTTTTTTTAAGATTTTATTTATTTTTGACATAGAGAGAGTGTGTACAAGCAGGGGAAGCAGCAAGCAGAGGGAGAGGGAGAAGCAGGCTTCCCGCTGAACAAGGAGCCTGATACAGGATTTGATCCCAGGACCCTGGGACCATGACCTGAGCCGAAGGCAGACGCTTAACCAGCTGAGCCACCCAGGGGCCCCTAGGCTCTACATCTTGATAGTGCTGTTAAGCACTGTCATTATTTCTAACTAGCCCAAGACATGCTCACTTAAGAAATTATTACATCTACAAATGAGTCCTCTACCTCATCAATTCAAATGCTTCTTTATTTTCCTTTAGAGATTAGGTATGTTGGCTATTAAGTCATACTTAGTTTGTTAAAATGAAGAAGCACATAGGAGAATCAACACTCAATGTTGTTATTAAATGTTATAATGACTCTAAGATTAAGTACCAGTTGACTCAAATGTAATTCTAGCAAGAGCTTTCTTTTTTGATACACTTGATAAGCACTGAAGTCATTAACTTCTTTTTTTTTTTTTTTAAAGATTTTATTTATTTATTTGAGAGAGAGAGAATGAGAGACAGAGAGCATGAGAGGGAGGAGAGTCAGAGGGAGAAGCAGACTCCCTGCCGAGCAGGGAGCCCAATGTGGGACTCGATCCAGGGACTCCAGGATCATGACCCGAGCCGAAGGCAGTCGCTTAACCGACTGAGCCACCCAGGCGCCCCGAAGTCATTAACTTCTTAAATAAGCCTCCTTCTCTTATATTCCCACCATGGGAGTAAAAACAGAGACTGTCCACTAGATCACTATATCAGTGCCTGGTGACTGTCCCACAGGCTTGGCCTTTACATTCTATTTCCAATTAGTAATCAAGACCTGTGTATTTTTTTTTTTAAATTTAAATTTTAGGTAATTTAGGTAGTTAACAAACAGTGCAATATTGGTTTCTGGAGCAGAATTCGTTGTTCATCATTTACATACAACACCCAGTGCTCATAACAAGTGCCCTCTTTAACATCCACCACCATATCCTTCTTAACACATCCCTTCCTCTCTTCATCACCACTGCTGTTGCCCTACTTCTAACCTTCTCATCTCCTGCCTTGATTAGTGCAATAATCTCTTTACTGGTCTTCAGGATACTAATTTTCCCTTTGTCAATCCATCATCTTCTTCAAACCTCAAAGCAGAGGGGCTTGCCAAAATATAAAACTATAATGTCCTTCCTAAAGATAATCTTTTTTTTTTTTAAAGATTTTATTTATTTATTTGACAGAGAGAGAGACAATGAGAGAGGGAACACAAGCAGGGGGAGAGGGAGAGGGAGAAGCAGGCTTCCCTCGGAGCAGGGAGGCCGATGTGGGGCTCGATCCCAGGACTCCGGGATCATGACCTGAGCCGAAGGCAGACGCTTAACGACTGAGCCACCCAGGCGCCCCTAAAGATTATAATCTTTTAGTGGATCATCACAACAAATTGTAAAAACCTTTGGATGGTATGAAAGCCATCCACATTTTCAATTTATCTTAAAAATGACCTCTCTGGCTCATCTCTGTTGCCTGACCCTCATATTCCTGTGGTCCAGCCATAATGATTTGCATGGTTTAGTTCAAGTCTACACTTAACTCCTCCAAACTTTTCTGGAAATGCTTTGTTCTGCTGTCCCCTTGCCCAGTTACTGGTTCCACCTGTTTACGTTTCTATTTCTCCCTACAAGGGTGCCAAGTCCTTGAGGGAGGGACCATATCTGTATTTTTAGTATCCTGCAAAATGTCTGGCTCCAACCAAGTGTTCAAATGTTTGTTGAATGAAAAACTACACAGATACAACATTAAAATTACTACACTATTATTCAGGAAACTAAGAACTTATTGAAGCCTGCATATTCTTCATATCTTATACAGAATATACAGTATTAAATAATATTGGTATGAAAGTCCTATTTTTGATCCATGTCCAAGATCAGACTGCTGAAAATTCTTCTGGATATGAATGTTGGCTCTTTTATGTCCCATATTTTAATGAATGTGGCAAGGGGAGGATTTTTTCTGTTCAGTCA